CTCTTCAGAAACAATTCTATGAGGTAGAATAGGGAGAGGATGATGCAATTTAATGTTTCTACTGCCAAATTGTTGGGTTTGGGTTTTTTCCAAGTTTTGATGCTGTTTTGTATAAGCAGTGAGACCTCTTCCAGTGTAATTTCAGTGCAGGCGTGTGTCGCTCCACTGTGTGCAGCTTTGAACCTAAAGTCGTGGTTTTTGGGCTCCCTATGTACGGCAACTCTAATTGGCATAGCAGCCACATCAAGTGCTAGTTGTTGTCACCCAGCCAGTGAGCGTGCATTGCATCCTCCCACTGCGTTTGCCAGGTAAATACTTTGTATGAGCCGGCTGGCACACAAGGTACTGGCTTGTGATTGCCATCCCCCCACCTCCAAAGACTGTGAGAATTTAGAGTGTAAGCAAAGCACATCAGAGAGAAGGAGGGTAAAGAAATAAGGTAATAGAAAAGTGAAAGGGTGGCGAACGTTGCTGTAGGTAGCTGGAGGTGTTTATATGGTAGGAGTGGGAATGAGGACTTTGGAAACAGGACATGAGGCACTAGTGTGGGTTGCAATGGAGGTTTCGTCGTGGTTTTGCTTCCACAAAGATATTTTGCATATGTTGTAGCTGCTTGGTGCAGATTATCTCCTTGCAGCATGAGGGAGGGGGTGAGAGGTGGCACAGCGTGATCACCAAACATCTGGCACTCCACAGTATGTGCTGTTCAGCTCCCAGAACTGAGCCAGGACTGTCAGTTTTGGGAAATCAGAGGACCTCTAGGTGATGCTGACGGATAGGTGAGTGCAGCCTGGGATAATGCAAGTGGGTTGATAATGCAAGGGAATGAGCTGATACGGGGTTTAGGAGTCTAGGATTTTGCAGCATGCAAGGGTGAATATGAGACACTAATGCTAAGTTAAAGCAATCCAAATTGTGCCCTCTGGACATCAGGGCTGAGATCCCTTGAGTGCTGGGCATCATCCTCTGAAGTGCTCATCAGGAGCTGAGGGCAACAACCTGCTCTCTGGTTTGAACCCTTCTTAAGCACCACCGTTTCTTGGACTGTTGCTCCTTTGTCAGGCGTTTAAAGACATACTAATGTGTTAGTGAAAACAAACGCAGTGAAATGAGTTTGTTTCTTTTATTTTTGTTATAGCTTGATTCATTCCGGGGGACAATTATAATACTCTCTGAGCCCCGTTTTGAACCTGCTTATGCTAACACAAATAGGATGAGAGTGATGCCTGTGGAAGTAATTAATTTGCTTTGAGAGTAAGCGAGTGTCAGAATTGCAGTCCTTATTTTTCAGGAAATCTATTTGGTATGATATAAAGATTGAGTTCCTTCCATTTGTTTACTTCCTAGAGCATTTGAAAAAAAAAATTGCATATGTGTTTTAAGCTTATGTTCGTAATTGGTTTTATACTTTATTTTGACTGCAGAAGTTTCAGTGTAGCCAGGAGCATACACACAAACACAAACCTGGAAACCTGTCCTTCCTGCATAGTCAGAGATTGGAGAGCTCAGAGAACTTACTTTGGGTAGTAGTTAGGTTTCTCATTTCTGCATCCAGATCACTTTTTGAACTTATCTGAAAAAGGGAAGCAGGAGCACTGTCCAATTTACCTGACAAGAGTTAAGTACTTTTAAAAAATGATGGCTATGCAGGTAAAAAAACCCCGCATAGATAGTTTTTACTTTTCAATTTCTATTTTTGCATTATTTTGCATTATATTTGCATTATTTCATTTATACTGGCACCTAGAGGGCTATGGCCTAATATGTCAGATCTGTAGTACACAACCAATGCTTGCTGTAATGTGTTGATGTTCCAGTATATAAACCAGGGGGGAAAAAAAAAAGTGAATGCAGGAAACAGATGGAGAATTGCAAATCGGTAACAAGATTAATATGACCTAAAAAAAATAAAATCGTAAATATATTTTGCTTTTTAAAGTAAATATCTCCAGTTTTTAAATAACATTTTCAATCAGTTGTCACAATTACATGAATGTTACAATTGACTATCTCGGAATAATGCAAAAGTTGCCATTCATTTCAGGAAGAGCATGATTTTACTGTGTACGTTTATGTACACAGAGTGCATACAAATGTATTTATGTTCTGTTAAAACTGAATTTTGATTGGAATGTAATGTTTTTGTGACAATAAAAGATGTCCTGTGTGTTAATAGGTGAAATACTCACCCTGGCAGGACTTGTATTTCTAAGAATATTAGTGGTATATTCCTATACTAAAACAATTTAAGAGAGTTGTTAGGTGAAAGACACAATCTGATGTTTCTAAAATAGATGTTTAGAAACAGGTGTTTTTGTTTACCTCAGAAGCAGACAAACATATAACATGTTAATCCAGCAAATCCAAGATTCATTTTCTGAAGTTTAGCATAATTTGTATGTTGTTTGTATGGCTAAGTATACAAACATTTCTGGACAAGGTGTGAGCGGATGGGCATGGAGGACATCATTCCTTACCTTTCTTCTAGACAGATAATTCTGTTTAACAACCAGAGCTGTTAGAGATGCACTTTTGTGATGTCAAGTGAAAAAAGGTAGTAGTTCCTTGAGAAAATCTTTCTTGTTGCATACGGAACATTTCCTTTTTAGTTTTGTAGCCGAATTAAACCATTTTTTTATTTTACTACACCAATTCTTTAGAGTAATTCTATCCATATTGCAGTAACCTGGATTTTCAGACATTGCACGTGTAGGTATGTTATTGCATGCTGCTCCAAAATGAAATTTTATAGCTAATTCTGCAATCACATGTGTGGTTGTGAGAGCATATTTTCATACCTGATATTCTTAGGTTCTTCTCTTAAATTTATGTAAGAGGTTTACACCTAACTTGTTTAGAACTGCACCTTGGTTATGAAACCAAGCAGGATCTGGTAAATCATGGTTGCCAAGATCTCCCAAAGAAGCTGTTAGTGTGCAATAAATCAGTAAAGTCAGGTAAATGTTTTCTGTGGTATGTGGCACAAAACCAAAACCATGAAAGCTGTGCCATGCATTAAAAGATTTGCAATTTTATACCACTTGACATTTTTGGGGTGTTAATTGGAAAAAAAAAACAAAGAAAACAAAAAAACCAAAACCCATTAAAAAACCAAACAGCAGACCAAACTAAAACAGATAAAACCCCCCATATATATATAACAAAAATGTGATCATACTGTATCTTTAGCAATTAGTTAAAAGATTTTATGTCTAGATCCCAAATATCAGAACAAATCTAAAAGCAATTTCCTGTTTCTGATGGAAAAACTAAAAAGAGGCACCTCAGATTCACCAAATAGTTTGAAGTACATTTTAAAATCACTGAGATGTCCTGACTTAAAAAATCGGTTTGCTTATAAATATATATAAAAAACATTTTAATGTGTGTGTGTGTGTGTGTATATACACAAATATGTATATAAGTATATACACATATTGAGATGTTTGTATTTTCGTAGAATTCTTTAGTATACGGATGTGCTGAATGTTTCTTTGATACCCAACTTTTACGTTACCTTTAGAATAAGTCAGCAACTAATCTTTTTTTTATTTACTCTCTAGAATATCTTTTGGGTTCATATCAATGAAAGTGAATTCAAATTCTAAAGGGATCAGAAATTTTATATATGCCATAAAACAATTCAGTACCAAATGCAATATGTTACATTACAATTTTTTAATATGCTTACTGTAGAAGTGCAAAATATAAATGTTTCTCATCTTTATAGTGTGCTGGATTTTCAAAGATTTGATTTTGTTGCTGTCGTAACAACTGGAAATATCTAAAATGCAAGAGTAGAAAAAGTTTATAGGGCGTGCATTTTTATTTGTAATTAGCTTGACTTTATTATGACCTTGACTTTATGTTAGGCAGTAAAATTAGAATGTTGCTAATAAAATTTTAATTGTATTTTATATTGACTTGTTACTGAGATTTTTCAATTTGTGAATCCTTTCACCAAAATGCTAAGTGCTACCCCTACATCTATGCTCCCCAAAACAAATAGATATCAGTAGGCTAAATAGATTTTTGTGGGATAAAACAACATATTAATTCAAAATCGTGAAGCATACGGTGCATTAAACCTTTGAGACACATTTGTAAAATATATATTGAAAACAAAAGACAGGAAAAATAAATATTGAATTTTTGTCGTAAGTGTCATAATTCACTCATAGCAATAAGCCAATAAGGAATAAATTTTTGGATGCTAATGAGATTGTATCAGTTTGAAACTTATTTGGTCAGGAGGAAAGGTAGGGTTTATAGGCAAATACTCTCCATTTGAAGGTATTTTGATTAACTTTTTAAGATGTACAAGTGCCATATTTTGTTCCTTAAAAATCTTCAGCACTTAGATACTCTCTCCTGCTGCACTTCATTTCCATAGGCTGAATAATAATACACTGTGGCACATAATGACATGAGTGACAAGGTTGAACAATCAAGATCTTGTCCTTTTCAAGACCAGCTATTTCATCTGTCCATGCTATACCATATTTGCTTTTAGCCAAGTGCGTATTTTTAAGTTATTGCTACTATAGATGTTTTAAGGGCAGGAAAAAAATTTCTGTTACATTTTGACTAAAATTGGCCTGCTGCATTAGCCTGGAAAGAGAGGAATCAGATGAAAACGCTTGCTTTGATACAGTTTAAGACAATCGTTTCATACAAGCATTTAATACCTGCATTTGCTTAATCTTTTGGTCTGAAATGTACTATGCTGGAAGCAGTATATTCTGTGAGAGAATGATAAATATTATTTTCCTGTTATTTTAATAAGTTTAATTCTTTGTATTATATATTTGAAACAGATGCAGAGCATTAGAAAGCGTGATGAGCTGTGTTTCTTTTTAATATATTTTTTAACCTTTTCTTTTAAAAGCATGGTGACTAACTTGCTTCATTCTTTTCCTTCCTTTTATAGGGAAGCAAAATATTGTAGTGTTTATGCGCAAAGCAGAAGTATTATTTATATATATTTTTTTTAATTACAGGTAAAGATTATAGTTCCCAACAGCACAGCAGGTCTGATAATAGGGAAGGGAGGTGCTACAGTGAAGGCTATAATGGAGCAGTCAGGGGCTTGGGTGCAGCTTTCCCAGAAACCTGATGGGATCAACTTGCAAGAGAGGGTTGTCACTGTGAGTGGAGAACCTGAACAAAACCGAAAAGCTGTTGAACTTATCATCCAGAAGATACAAGAGGATCCACAGAGTGGCAGCTGTCTCAATATCAGTTATGCCAATGTCACAGGTCCAGTGGCCAATTCCAATCCAACCGGATCTCCTTATGCAAACACTGCTGAAGTGTTACCAACTGCTGCAGCTGCTGCAGGGCTATTAGGACATGCTAACCTTGCTGGAGTGGCAGCCTTTCCAGCAGTTTTATCTGGCTTTACAGGCAATGACCTGGTGGCCATCACCTCTGCACTTAACACGTTAGCCAGCTATGGATATAATCTCAACACACTAGGTCTAGGCCTCAGTCAGGCAGCAGCTACCGGGGCTTTGGCTGCAGCAGCTGCCAGTGCAGCATCAGCAGCCAACTTGTTGGCCACCTATG